CAACAATTACATATGACATTCACAATAAGTCTATCCCTAATAGTCTTCACTTAATAACAGGAGCTTAATCCCGTAGTCAGTACCTCCCTAAACTGAAGTCACATTTTGGTCTGGCCGCCTCTTATTTTCTCAAAAACACACTATACTTCACATAGCTTCTTAGGTTATACTTCATCTCTTACTTCCTTTCTGCAATTATAGCTAATGATAACTGTCTTAAAATTATTCTCTACTATTGTGATTGTCTGGTTATATGTATATAAATTAATAAACATTGGTGCCAAAATGATAAAAAAATAGTTTTTCCAGGTTTTCAAGAATCCAGTCCAAAAAATAAGATGAAAAAGGACAGTTTGTCCCTCAGCTTCCTGTCACATACATTAATCTCACTTCAAATTTCATACTTTCTGGTTTCACTCCATACTTATTTCTATCATATGACTTTCCTTTATAGATGTTATTTTCCAAAATTACTTTTTTTTGTGCATGTGGATGTGAACTTTTCACAGTGTACATGTGAAGGTACATTCATATATATATATATATATATATATATATATATATATATATATATATGTATATACTCCATACCTTCAGTGAAGTTGGCTGATTGCCAAAAATACATTGATTCTAATGTTAGTTTTTATCTGTCAGATTTATTGATTAACGCAGATTTAAACAAATAAATCAGTCCTTACCTTATAGTTGGGGAAAGAGAAATATTATGTTCACAGTTTCATATGTAGATAGGTTGAAATGTAGATATTTTCTCATTAATGTAACCAATAAAATATCGGCATACTTTAATTAATAAAAAAATTGACTCTCCTCAACTGGCCATTTAGATCAATAAAGTTGACAGATAAAATTATTTTCATTTTCTAACAATCACTTGTTTTGTAAAATAATGTATAATTATGAAAATATGTTACTGAATTGTTGATGTGTGTTGTAGGGAGAGAGAGAGAGACTAAGTTGTGTGAGATTAAGCTTTTGATGTTCATTATGAATATGATTGTGGAAAGACATTTAAAATCTTTCAAACTCCTAGGAAGTGTTATCTTATTAGATTACAACTATCTACTCTATTCACATCTTTCTCCTTGTATATCTTTTGGCAGGATCAGGCAAGGAAAGGTATAAAGGTTCTATAATACCGTATCTAGTAAATTAAATATGCTTTGATTAAGCTTTAAGAGCTGGCCTGGTCAAAAACTTGTATACTTGAATGTGTTGTTATTCAGAACTTGTATGGATTCTTATCTTCTGAAAAACATTTCATTTAATCCCGGATAGTTTATTTACTTATCTTAACGGTCATCATTACAAACTGTATAGTTTGTGAATAATATGATAACTAGTTCACCTGGATTTTTTTTCGTGTAAACTAATCATTCAACTATTCTCGTTAATTAAACAACCACCAATAAATATACGAGACATTTGTCTACTGTTTTAATCATTTCAATCTGATAAGAAAAATCTACTGGTTCTCTTTGATTGGTAATTAACTGTATTAAACTTTTGTTGATTAAAGAAAAACCGTTCAACTAACAAAACACATTACTACTCAAATACAAGTAGTATAAGAAAATATATTAAATGGATTTACAATTTTTAGCTTATTACATTTAGCTATAGTGCTGGGATTATTTCATTACATCTTCACATTTTATTATTGTCTTATTGTTGCTCTAAACTACAGAGTTTCCATGTTTGTTAATACATAAATTCCATACCAATCAGTCAGTCAGCGACAATGTAGGTCTCTTCGTACATACGTACGCACAAAGACGCAACTGTCAGTTCAAATCCCATAGTGGTAGAGGTAGTAGAAGTATTAGCGGTAATAAAAAAGAATTGGGATTTGAACATATTATTCAAGAAGTATAATTTAGTGGAATAATTCAAAAAAGTCGAAGACGGAGGTGGTGAGGAATTCAGAAAATTACAGTTTGAGATAGCACAAAGAATGGATGCACTTGCGCCATCGCAAACGACTTTAAGCCATGTCATTCAAGATCTCTGACCATCGGTTTCTATCATCACACAGACCCTAACCAGTAAGTCTACACCTACCAACATGGCTCAGTCCACTTGCCAGTGGCTTCATAGATTTGTGCCATGTTTTAGTTTGGCCGCCCCTGGGTTTCTTCCAGTCTACTCCTACAACACAAAACATCGCTTGTCGGGGCATCCGGTGGTGGGGCATACTTAACACATGTCCCAACCACTTCGACTGATGAAGTTTCAATACTTCATCTGTTGATCTGCTATCCTTACCTAGTAATTGTTCCCTAACAACTACATTTCTTACTCGGTGGTTGCAGGATATACGAGCAATTCTTTGAAGACACTGCTGATTGAATACTAATAACCTATGAATATAATCTACTATTACTGGCCATGCTTCACAGCCTTCAAGTAGGACGGAATGAATTGCTGCGTTGTGAACTCGTCCTTTAGTTAGCAAACGGATATCTCTCTTACTCCAAAAAGCCAGTCGAGCCTTCTCTATCCGTGTAACTCTATGTCTGTAATATACCATCATACTTCCGATAAAACCAGTATCACGAGCTTGTAACCGTCGTTATTGTTCAATTCAGAGAACAGTGTAGTGTTAATAAGTGACATCGGCAGAATAATAACCATTATGTAATATACAATTTAATATTTATATACAATCTCCATAACTATTCATTCATGAAGAGAACTACAAAGAATTCTTCAACTCTTTTGTTTCAATCTCAACCGACTAGAAATTAGCTTTACTCTATTCAAGTCATCCTAAGAGTCGCTGAAGGTATTCATTAAAGTACACTTGATCATATAAGCACAATGTACTACCTGTCTATCTATCTATCTATTAACAATTTTATTTATTCTAATACATTATACATACATATTACACTTCTCGGTATTTCACTAGTGAAGAAAAAAAAAGAACATTAATTAATTTCTTTCTACTTTATCATCATTGAGTTCATTTTAGATCATCAAAAAGCATGCAACATTGTTGTTTACCTAACATCATGTGTTCTTTTCTTCTTCTTCAGTTTATTCTTCTTTCATTAATTTGTAAGTAATTACAAAAGAGAGAAAAAGAAAACGTAATATGAAACAAATAGTTAGATTTAAACATTTTTTTTTTGAAATTTATATTAGAAAATAAATAATTGTTTGGCATTGTGCCAAAAATACACCGCCCCTTAGATACACCATACATAGAGTTATGGTCTCTTCTCTACTGACCATTAAATACACACATATTCACTATATATGTCAATTTGTATTTGCTTGATGACCTGATGCTTCAATTGAATAAAAAAATGTTTTTTATGTATTTGTGTTTGGCGTTTAACAGTTAGTTGTACCACATATTTCAATGGTACTAAATGATGGCATGCTCAGTTCTTTCTCTCTCTCTCTCTCCCTCCACATATATATATATATATATATATATATATATATAATAAGAAATTTAAAAATTAGAAATCAACCATGTTCAAATGACAGTGAAATTAAAAAAAATGTCGTGAAAATAAGATAATGAAACCTTGAAACACTGAATGAATATATTCACAGTATTATCACCGATTATGAGTCATTATTATTAACCCTGGATTACAATGATTACAAATCTTGAATACACTAACCTAAGAGTTCTGCATCTACCGATACTTTTAAATCTGATTGTCGATAATTTTAATGAATTGATATCATGTCTTTGTCTGATCATTTCTAATATTTTTCAAACGTATCCCTGTGGCCAATCTGTATTGTCAATAAAGAAAGGTAAGGTGGTGACTAAGTATCGGTGATGATCCTTAATTGATAAATGCTCACCGTTCCATCGACTCACTAAATGTATGTACCTAGAATCTCAAGTTTAAATTCACAAATATTCACTGAATAGTTTAGCTCTACAATAAATAACACCTGCTTTAATGATTTTTGATTAAATACTGTTTACATATACTTGTCTTGTCAATAATTGCTTTCAGCTATAAAGTAATGCATAACGAAACATCTTGAAGTATATATTTATTCTTTTTAGTTGAAAGATAAAAAATTTTGCCTACGCACCAGATGACGTATAATCAATGATTCAAACTGGTTTTATTTAAAATTTCATCAAATACTTAAAGCACTTCATTCAATAAAACTCTTAACATATATAAATGAAATAATTATTCTGCTTAAACTTATTCACTTCCTTATCTTGTTAGACTAATCAATTGTTTGTTTTTGTATGAAGCATTAATGATACTTTATTGTTCCAAACTCTGAATTAGTTGGCAAATAAACTTTTCGTTGCTTTTTTTCTTCTGTCTCTTCTCTTATCTAACCGAGAGTAAATGAAAGTTGCACAGAATTACCAAACATCTCATTCTGTTGACCTTGAATACGTTTATATTTGTTCTCAATGCTCATGTGATAATAATAATAATGTTTCTAATAACTAAAAATTTCTCACGTATGTAAATATACACACAGATAGACATTGATGTATGTTACGTTTTTACATTTACGTAAATGTGCTGGAATTTACACTCAACTCTAGTTTTATGCGTACATTGCATGCAAACATGCGTTTGTATTTTTTTGTGTGTGTTGAAGTTATATTAACTAATAAAATTTATAATAATGATAATCATTTTTAGAACCGTTTGTATTTTTACTTGTTCTGTTCTAGATCACATGATAAAAACTATGCTGGTACATATATATATATATAACGACGTTGAATATTATAACTGAATTTCCTCTCACCTTTATGAATTGAAATTGTGCCAATATTGCTAAATTTATTTTTGAATAATGTGTTTTTTTGTAAAATTATTATTTTAGTGCATTTAATAATCCTCGATGATTTTTACTTATGGTACGTCATCATTATTACAATATACATTAAATTTGAATTATATAAAAAGAATTGAACTTTCTACTTACTTCATTCGGAATTTCTTTCTTCAAATTGATTAATTAATTTCTAAAATATATTTTAAAAACAAAATGATTGGAAATCATTTTGTTCATTTGATAAACTCTTTTTATTCATAAGAAAATATTGAAGAAACAAGAAAACAAAAAATAAGAGAAATAAATTGAAAACACAATCAACAACACTATGACAAGTAGTGGATGTCAAAGTAGAAATAACAGTACATGTGACAGTCCTGTAATATTGACAAATAATAATAATCATCATCATCAGCCTAAACAAATCTCTATGGGTCGACCACCAAGTTCAATCAGTCTAATAACAGATCAATTAAAGTTATCCAGTTTAAATGAATCTGATTCATGTATGACTATGAGAATGAAGAAAATGACAATTGGAATACCGATAACAACAACAACAGCAGCAACATCGACTAAGTCAATGAATACACAATCAAATGATATTCATTCGGAACATGACAGTTCAGAGACAATAAATAAATCAAAGCATACTTCTTCAATGCCTACACATTCTATTATTGGCTTACAATCGAAACGTACTCTTACCAGTACTAATAATAATAATGATCATTCAAACAACAATAATAATAATAATAATAATAGTACAGATTGGAGAACTGGATCAAAAGATTATCATCATTCACGTACTGTACATTTTCATGATGTATTTACACCGAATTCTAGTGTTTGTTCTTCTCTTCAATCTACTATATCAGAAATTGACGATGAAAATGAAATAACTGTAAGTGTATTTCATTGTTTCATACGGTTTCTTTTTTTATAGTTTCATGAGCATTAAATTTATGGAAACTTTATATCCTTTTGAAATTTATCCATATGAAGTTCATATTTTATTGTCGAAAGGTTGTGAAAAGGAATTTTAATGATGGCTGTGTGATGTAGAAGATAGTTTTTAATATGCTGATATGATGGAATCATCACTTAATGTCCGGAATTTCATTCAATCTTTCTCATGAATCATTTTGACTAACATGAATTCTTGTTATTCGATTATGTTAATAGTTCTCTCTCTGATTAAATCTATTGGCTGAAGATAATAATGTAAATTATTGTTTGGCAACTCAATAGTCTGATAGTTAAGCGCTTGCCATGTGACCTAAATGCTATGCGTTCGATTCCAGGTAAAGTCATGGATGTCAGTTGTCGATAAAATATCTTATGTTCTCAAATTGCTTTGTAGATTCTATTAATTTGTATTCTATCGAATCACATCTTCCATGGCTAATTTTGTCTATTATCAAGAATACTGTTATTACTCCTACTGTTCTGTGATATCCCGTAACAATTTCATCTCATTGTGTTACTGGAGTGTGGCAATTTGAGTTGACATGCACACGTGTTAGGCTCTACGTTGCGTATACCTAACTGATTGAAAGTGATATAAGACTACGAACTTAAGTTACAAAATACATTAATGTAACGTTGGAGAATCAGTGATACAGGGGTTATGCCTGATATAAACAATTATGAAATAGATAGAACGCAAATAGTGTGACAGTAATAAGATGAAATTTTCAAAATTTTTTAGTAAAGTCTTAGAGTTTAATATGCGGCTCAATTAAGTACACTATATGTAAATAACAAGTGTATATGTCACATAAAAGGATTAATGAGTGAGACCATAGAATAAATCACCTGAATCAATAAATGAACATCAGAGTAACCAACTATCATATTTTATGTGTTCTATGTGCTGCAAGCAGTGAGAGCTTTAAGGCGATCATTTAAAACTTTACATAAGATCGATTTCAGAACAGTTTAGCAGTTGATCTCATGGTATTTGTGCCAACAATCATATACTGACATGTAGATTCATGAATAGTTCCTAGGTTCAAAGGTACCAATAGCCACTTGGTATGAATGCGTCTGAATAGTGTCATGTTCATATGATAGTCAGTAGATGAAATACATCGTTGACTAAATATCCGTAGCCATTGAGTTAATATTGCCAAAATTTAACCGTGAAAATACTACCGCTACTTTATGTTGGATGGGTGGAGTGTGGTGATTTGGTCGTTCAGACGTCTGATTTTCAGCCATTAGATTCTTGGCTCAAATTCTTCTCTACCTAATTCATTTCGGACAATCGGATAGTATCATTAGTCTTCACATTTGGATATATCTGATAAGTGAGTTAATCAAAGAGAATTTTTATCAGCCTATCGACTCATTCTTCAGTTTCGACTAGAAAATATAATAATAATTTCCGACTTATGTGTCATGTTGGTTTTTCGAATCATCACATTATTGTTTTGAACTGCTATCAAGTCACAAATACTTTAAGCGGAGTTAGATTTTGACCAACATGTGAATCAAGGACGCACATGTCATTCCATATCGGACTTGTCATTGGTGTGTACTTGCATCGTTTTTGCTGTTCACACCAGTACTCGTACCCAGTGCCTTTCTCTCCTAACACTTAGTGCGTTATCCATTTAGCCACTCGTTTATACCACTGAAGGAATTTTTGTTCATTTTTATTACTTTTTTGAATCTCCTGGTTATGGACTGCTCTGGGCGTTTAAAGTGAAATGTATTGGGTTCGAATCTCTGGGTGAACATCAGCACTGTAGTGCAAGGACATTCAACTGACGATTCCCTAATAAGACGAAATGCATTCTAAGAATTCCATTACTAACCACTATCCAAACAAGTTTCAATGTTGTTGATTCACAACAATCAGTGAGACTTTACTGTAGTACGATGGATAAGTAGGCTATTTTGAATGAACTAATCATTCTTTACTTTATAGAAAGCCTTCTGTCATTTTGTAATTGTAAACGCTACTTTTGGACATGGAATCGTTTCACTATTCTTTATTCCTCCCTTATTTATCCACTTAATTTAAGCAAATAGTATCTATAACAGAAAATAGATTTTACCAATAAAATACTGTATTATCGATGTATGATTTATACGCCCTAATTAAAGGGGTTTTTTTGTTGTTTCGAATAATGTACACTGTTATTAATTAAATGATATAATTTTTCAAAAAAATTTCAAAAAGATTATTTCACAGAAAACATTAAATGTTTCTGATGTTTCGGTTTTTTTTTCTCAATAAAAAGAGAGTTGTGTATCAGTTTTTAATTAACTGGTTATTGTTTTAAAGTAGTTTTAAGTTTGATTAAAAAAATACTTATAGATTCTGTAACACACAACAGACAGTAAGAATTTTATCATGATTGTTTGATCTGTTAGTCGCTGTGTAATAGTATACGCTTAAAAAAAAATAAACTAAATAGCCTATTTACCTCCTGTATTCATCAGTCTGTACATATATATCTATATGTTTGTTGACTATGTAGGTAATATTTCTATAGTTATAACTGATAAATTTTCTTAAGAATCCATTTTATTTACAAAATGCAAATTAGTGTATTTTCATTTGAGACATATTATTTAATGACTGATTCTACACTGTCAGGCGATCAAAGTAAAGTATTAAGCGGAAATGTTTTTTGAACCAACAACTACACTAAGTTGTCATTCTGTCGATATTTTAAATTGAGAGCGATGAAAATCAAGTTTATTATTTTGTTTTGTTTTTTATCTTGTACTAACACTATTATGTGACCAGTAGAGTCTAGCCGTGTCGTGTGTGTGTGGCAGTTACCTACCAAAGACAGTAGTAGGTTGTCGCTGAATATCGTTGATTGACTGAAGTTAGACATTAACACTGTTGGATACCAAGCTTAGTGGTCTAGGGGTTAAGCGGTCATGTGACACCGAAGCTTTTGGGTTCGAACCCTGCTAGCAAGATTACCATACTAGAACGAAACAGTAGTCCGGTGCTTTCATATTCCCAACAGTATTCTGACATTTATCAGTTCATGATTTCAATGGAGTTTGACAATCTCTACAACCCCATACTTTTATACTACAACGTCTAATAAGAAAAAAATTAAAGGTTTATTCAAATAAATCAATTAGTTTGTATTTATGTTGCATGGCGAATAACATCAGCATCGTCGACTATGCTTTTACTGACTGATCTTCTTCTTTTTTAATTTTTTTGATAGAATCTTGAACAGAATTCATCGTCTCTTCATGTTTGTAAGTCTAATTTCTTTGTATCGTTTTGTTTTTAAATTGATTTTTATATTCATTAATGATCACAATGATGGTTTCACATGTTATTCAAACTTTCAGTTTAACTAAAGTTAACTTTGATATAAACAGATTCATTCAACTAATAATAATCTTATTCCTGTTGTTGCCTGATTTCAAGAGGTAATTCTTTGGAACTCTAGTGAGATTTGATCAATGCAGTTCAATCATAACGAGTTTGAGGTTTTGAAAAGTTGTTTCACTATTTTGTGAATTGATCAAAGACGTATATGGATGACGAGTTAGCTGTTTCAAGATTTATTGCTCGTTATAAGACCTAAGGATTCTGTGTCCGATCCACCAGTTGGATTGTGGAAACTCATTATTGAGGTTATCTAACCAAAGTTAGTTTCTCATATGTACTATGAATCACAATCTCCATAAATTATTTACAATCTAAAATAAGTAATTGATAACGTTTTTTTCTGGAGTGTTCTAAATGAAGTGTTGAAAAGGCGATCACCACCTACTTACGGCGTTTATTACTATCAAGTCGAAGAATATGATGGAAAACTCCTTACATAGCTTCGTATTGTTATGAATTGGGATTCTGTGTAGGCGTTGAAGAGAGTAAATTAATAATACCACTTTCTAAACGAAACCGTTTTCTTGTTAGCTGTTTTTATTTGTGTACTATCTTACTTCATATATGTTAGTCAATCTTAAAAAAAAGCCAACCATAATGCTGATTAATAGCTTGATTAATGTGCTTTCCCTTCTTCCTGTTGTCAATTTAATACTATTTAATGAAAAAAGATGTCACAGACATTTTTGATAGAATATAGTATCAGTGAATTTCATAGCTAATTTAATTGATTTAAAACGTGAGGGTGAACAACGCCTAGATGTAATTTAAAATCAATAGGAAAAAAACAAAATTAGGATTATGATTTGGATTTGTAGTCCACCAACACTGTGAAAAGAATTAACTTAACTTTCTTAACCAGTACCCAATAAGATCGATGCTTCTGTGACTCTGATTTTCTGATTTTCTCTTTCATGTAATATGGATAATCTATTTTGTTGTTTAGCGAGTTGATCGTAAATCATCTAAAAAAGATTTTTCTTTTTGTATTATTGAGTTAGTTAAACATCTTAATCCATGATTTATACTTTCTTGAAATAACAATTCTCCACTGTCATAAACCAGTTGCTGTCTTTTAATATTTCTATGACTTAGTGAAATGTTAAGTACTGAAAAAAGTAATCGTTATTTGCTGTTTCTTTATATCATTCAGTAAAATGTGTTCTATATTACTATATTAATGTTGGTTAGTCAGTAAGAAACCTTGGACATAGGTCTCTTGTTAGTTGATACTCATCAGCCTGGTCTACCCACAATCTTTGGGCAACCAATAGTCCCTGTAAGGTTCGAATCCACGTCACCAAGTTTCAAAGTCTGAGGCTTTACTGATAAGTTATTTGGACTGCAATTGACCTTCTGTAGGACTGAGATATGTAAATTGACTGTATCAGGTTTTTCTAGATTGTGATGGTTATCGATTTCCGTAGACCAAGTCGCCTGATGATATTATTTATCTGAAGGTTGTAAGTACACCCTATTGACAAGTACCGACTAGCAACAAATCGATGTTCAGGCTTCCTTGTCAACTACCTAAAATCCAAAATATTGTGCAGACTATGTTAAAGGCTGATGGTCACATTCCAACTTGCCTTGTTGAATTCGATCACCATTAGTTAAACATGACGTCATTAGTCAACTAACTACTCAATTGTCAATCAATGATGTTATTGTATACATTCATTTCATTATACCGAATTGATTGCATTTGACTGGAAAATAAACCTAGTTGGGGTAGTTCATAACTAGGTGGAGTGATATCTATGCACATACATCACACCTTAATGTTTATACATTGACTAAAATTGCAACATTCACTGTTATTCAACTGACATTGTTACTTATTAACGTTCACTTTTGCTAAGTCATCTGATAAAAAATACATTAATACTAAAATAAAATAACAGCAAAACATTTTTTTTATCAGGAAATACACAGTAAATATCTATAAATATGTTATATTATAAATATTGAAACTTTCAAATAACATCAGTCAATCATTTCATAAAGAGTCGCTATCTATGATAACCATTATTAAAATGCCAAATACCATAATACAGAGTGATGTATCATCATCAAAACAAACGTAGAATGTTTAACATTCAACATTAATTAAATTCGATTGTAACACATTGTCTTATTATTATTATTATTATGGATTTTTTGATTGATATTACATGTAATTAATCTCTAGTCTCATAAGTGAGCTTGAGGCCTGTAGTAACCCTAGAAGGGCTCCAGGCCGAGTTATCTCCTTCTTCTAAAGTAGCTTAATGATTTACGATGACGATTCATAGGTAATTGACGTAACTGATTAAGACTCATGTATGTGAGTTGAATAAATGAATAGTTTTACACAATCGTTATCAGAATAATGAAGTTATCATAGTAGTTGTTAACTACCTCTTTTTGAATGGATAAATTCGGTTAGAGTTTTTTGATAGGCATCATTTTGGTGAAGCGTTCAAAAGTCGCTTTTTTCATATATATTAATAATTTTTTTTAAAAATTATGGACATCAGTCGGTTTTCTACCGGACTGTAACAACTTCTCAATCTCGAATTCTTTAGAATATCATCAGAGAAATAAACAATTTTCTGTTATTTTCGTTCGTCCAATACACCTTCTTTGGTATGTACATATAAAAATGATGAATATAATTTCAGTACTGAATATAGAGGATGTTAAGGATGTTAGATCCCCAGAACTCGCTCAATAAATGTCTTTATTTTGGGATTATTTCATGGACCGACCCGTTGACCTTGAGATCACATTTCCCACCAGGAGAATCCTTGGTTGTGATTGGTTACTGTGTCATTTTAGTGTGCTATTTTGTGGCTTTCCCAAGGACGTCTCTATGGTGCGTAAATGAACACGATTTGTGTGCTGGCTGGGTGTTGTAGAATACACTTCCTACGCTATATCAAGACTTATTGCTAGTACATTTTGATCAAAGGATCAGAGTAGCCTACCTGGACGCTGGTTCATTGTTTTGTTCTCTTTATTCGACTAAGGTGAACCCGTAATAATTTTGACCATACCTAGAGACGAGTGTAACAGATGATTTATTGATTTTTCTTATTTCATGATTCAATTCATTTCATACAAGATGATGGACCTTGTGTCTCTCTATAAGCAATTTTCAATTCAGCATGTATTCTCCATGACTTACTAATCGAATTATTTCATGTTGTTTGAGCTGCAAATGTAGGAGACAAAACTTCTTCTCAAGTGATGCATTCATTTGTTGTAAAATATTGATTTTGCGTAGAAATTTTTTTGTACACCAGTAAACGATTGATTGAACTCGTTGTTTTACTTTATTGAATAGTACTTACACTTTATTCTACTGTTTTCATAGATTTATTTTTTGCTCAATGTATATTTCTTATGGTGTTCTTACTGTTTATCATTTTATTTGTAGTATCTGCAAGTGCACCGGCTACAAATTATTCATTCAGTTCTATGTCAAATGTATTCAAATTCAATGAAATACAATCTTGTCATCAACACTGTCACCATCTGCCTCATTCTCATCATTGCCATCATCAAATTCATAGGAATACTACTAACACTACTACTACTACTACTACTACTGATACTACTAGTAATAATAACAATAACACTATTACACCATCAACATATACATTCAACTTTTCTTCATCATCATCTTCATTCCCATGTTCAGTGGATGATAAAATTGATCCTATGAATATATCAAATAATCAGCCATCTAGTATACCATCTAAAATAGTATGTTCTTCCTCTGCTTCCTCCGCCTCCTTCCTATTACCATCATCTGGATCATGTTATTGTTGTGCAACTTGTTGTTCTTGTTGTCTTCTTGCAAACAATATTTCATCATATCCACATATTCAATATTTAAATGATCGTTTACCACCGGCAAAACGTGTTTGTCGTTCAACTAGTTCAAGTAGTGATATACATTCACAGACATCTTCATCGTATGGTTATGCTTGTCGTCAATTACCTTTTAACAGCATCATGTCATCATCTTGTTCTTGTAATTCTTATATACCACCACCACCACCACCGCCGCCATCATCATTATCATCATCATCGTCATTAGTCGCGTCGCATCGTTATTGTCATAAATATTGTAGCGGTGGTATTAGTAGTCATAGTAATACTAACAACAATCAGCATAATTCTACAATTCTAATGAAAACAATGCAATCTTACATGCGAACTCTGCCACGACCAATTGCAGTACGATTAGATTCCAAAGTGATGTATAATGAAAAGTCGAAAAGTTGTACTAATATGGATAATGTGAAATTATTAACACCTAATGACAATCATACTAATTATAGCACTTTAAAAAATCCTAATCATGGTGTTATTCTACGGCCGAAACCATCCGATTCAATATCTTTTAATAAAATCAATAATGGATCACGTGTTAGTTGGCATCATCCATTGTTTAATTTCGGTTGTGGAACTTCGCAAACTAATAGTTTATCTTTACAAACTGAAGCGAACGAGATCACTATGCAACATGATAATTCTCCGACAGACATTTCACAAACACAATCAGATAGTTTACAAAATTCTATTCATCCGTGTAATCGAACTACGCATAGTAACAGCAGTGGTCATAGTACTACTACTACAACAACGACTACTACTACCAATACAAATTCAAATCAGTTCAATCGTGCTCATCCTCCAAGTCATATAGATATTAAAGATCCAAATGATTCTTCATTGTCAATTCATGCATTGCCTAGGTATGTCGCTATGTAAATTGTTTGTTCTTT